AGTTTATTAGTTCTGAGACAGAACTAAAAATAGACCCATGTGGGGCTGCTCAGTCCTCTGGGCAGATGTAATTGAGGATAATCTAGCTTTAAATATGGGAAGGCTGTCTGACAGCAACAACAACATTTCAGCATATGGACGGGGAGGCACCTCCAACGTCACCAGAGCGGCGCCTGCACCGCCAGATCCCAGCCCACCTCTGCTGCTCCTGGGCCTTCTGCAGGAACAGACCAGCCACAGACCCAAACATCCTAGCAGACACTAGGAGGGAAGCATGGAGTCAAATACCAAGGGGTATTACCAAATACCAAGGGGCAGCATCAGTGGAGCTGTGCCAGTACCCGTTCCGCTGGCCTGAAATTTCATACAGCTGAGGCTTACCAGATTAAATGGCTGAAAGACTCCAAGTCCTCAGAGCTGACAGCACCTTCCTCCTCCTGCGAAGGCTTCCTGTGTCCCAGGCAGGCTGTGAGACGTGCTGGGAGGATGCTGTGTGGGTGAGGGCTGGGTGTGGGCAGGCAGCCAGGCCGATAACTGCCCTTCCACGAAGAGGGAAGCGCTCCCGCCTGCCCGCCACAGATAGCAGCGAGACGTTGGACTGGCTGGATTTTGTAAATCTCCCACCAGGCCTTGGGCTGGCAGGGAAGGACAGACCGCGGCCCTGCCACCATCCCCAGGCACACACCTGCAGGTCCCTGGTGGCTCTGCAAGGGGCTCCATCCCAGCAGGAGCCCAGCCACAGACCTGCTGCCAGCACAGGGACTCACTGTGCCTGGTGTGCCATGCCCAGCCACAGCTCTGCACTCTGCTGGGTGCACAGCTAACACCCACCCAGCACTGACCATGGAGACAGGCAGCCTGGCCTCATCCTGCCCCCCAGCTTAACTGGTTTTAACTGGTTTAAAGTTTCCTGCAAGTCCAGAGCATTCCTCGCAGCCTGGCCCTGCACGCTCAGTCCTTCCCAGGCACAGTGGCAGGAGGGGTCAGTGCCAGGCTCCAGAGCTGGGAGAGCCACCCAGGGCATGTGGCTGTGAGGGCACTGCTGGGGCTTGCACTGGGCTGGCTCCACACCCATCAGCAATGGAGGGGGCAGTTCCAAAGGCACGGGGATGGGAAACCTCCCTGTGCTGCTGCTGGCTGCTTTGCAGCAGTTTGGACAGCACTTCCTTTGCATGTGCTTCTCCGGCTAAATATAATTGCAAAACATACATTTACATGCAATTATCCATTTATGAAGTGCTAACAAGTCAAAGGAATTCACTTAGATGCAATCTGCTCGCCAGACCTTGTCCTCACAGGACCCAAGCACAAACCTCCAAGATCAGGGCAACAGTCAGTGCAGCCAGCTCCAAGATGCTAAATCATTCCCACATCTTCCCATTAACTCAGCTCCAGCCCATCAAATATTAAAGAGCCTCAGGCCTGGACACAGCTCTTTTTACGAAGGTTGAGTGCATCTTTCATCTCTTCCCACCTTCATCCTGCTGCTCCCATCAGCAGAGGAGCATCACATGCTCTTTCATGTGAGTTCTGACTGCTCACACACTGACTCCCAGTAATTGCTGTGCATGGCTCCTCCATTCCACAGAGACATGATTATTTTGTTGCTATTTTTGCTTTATAAGGCTAAAAGAAGAGGTGACTCTGCCTGAAGAGGTGTGGGGGGGGATTTACTGATTTTTTTGTTTAACACCCTGTGGTTTCTCAGCACACCCATCGATACCAATGAGTAAATAACCAGAGCACAAGGGCTGAGGAGCTGTCAGCAGCTAAAGGGCTGCTGAAGCCCCCATGGGACATCACCCTGCCACTGTGCCGCAGAGGAGGAGGAAGGGCCCCACGAGTCCCCATCCCGCTTTTCCACCTCCAGCATCCCCAGTACAAGGATTTCACAAGGCCAAGGGGGCTCGAGGGTCTCTGCCTGCTTTCCTGGGAACTCCTGCATGTGCTGGGCTGCTGTGAGAGGCAGGCAAACCCACCGGGCTGGCTCACCTGGCCAGAACTGCTCTTTGACATGCAAAGATCATTTGCAGGCTGATGTTTTCCTGCAGGGTGACCTTCCCACCAGGGAAGCAGCTTAGCTGCCATCTGGCTCAGGTCTTCCCTTCCTGGCAGCACAAGCTGACCTCAAACACCCCATGTTTGACTAGGACTGCATGGAGCTGAGCCCTTAGGAGAACCAAGGGGACCCCAGGAGCCGGGAGACACTTCCAGCTGCCTTCAGAGGCTTCATGTGACACAAGAAAACACCAACACCAAGCCAAGGCTGGGGAGCTGCTTCTGGACACGATTCCCCTTTTGCCAGCCCAGGGCATTCAGCAGCTCCAAGTGCTTTCCCCTGAAATGGGTAAGGAATAAAAAAATGGAACAGAAAAGTAGAGATCACAATGGGATTGGTCCAAACCAAACCCAGGGTCCGCAAATGCCAAATCCCATTTACTGCCCACGTGTCTCAGTCTCCCTCCCACAGCTCCCTGGGGCCAGCCCCAGTCCCAGCAGCTCCCAACAGCCCCAGCACTGAGCAAGAAGCACCAGTGCCTGCTTCCACCCCTGGGGACGTGCACCCCCAAAAACAGCCAGCAGAGTATCCCCCAGCCCTCTCCCAGACTCTCCACCCCCCAGCCAGAGGCTCAGCTTGCTCCTGCCCAGGACAGGGGGCTGCAGAGCCCATGGCCAGGACAGCAAACCCGGGGTGGGACAGGGCACAGCAGCTCTGCCTGGGCACCGATGCTCTCAGGAGGGCACGGGCACGGCACAGCTCCCTGGGGCAGAGCAGAGCCCAGCTCCAGAGCTGCCCGGGCCCTGGACAACACCTTCCCTGCCCTCCTGCAGCCCTGGCGCCTCTGCTGTCACCAGAGGGGTCAGCTGAGCCTGCCTGCGCCGCCAGGCTCCCCAGCACCGCCTCTCCCCCCGGCAGCTCCCGTCCTCCGACACATCCTCGGTTACCATAGGAACCGCAGAAACCCGAGCTGAGGCACACGAGAGGCAGGCAAGCAGAGCTGCTCGGATGCCCAGTGCCACTGCGTGGGTGAGTTTATCCTGACTGTGCGGGCGGGTTTGTCCCCGGGCAGGACAGGACAGGCATCGCCCACCCTGGCACTGCCCCCGGGGCCGCTCCAGCCCCCGGCCCGGCCTCTGCGGGTCACTGCTGGTGTCTGCAGCAGCACCAGGCTCCTGAGGGGCTCCAGGGCACGCGGAAAGCAGCTCCGACTTTCGGTAATAACTTATGCAGGGAAAGAAAACTTCCGATGCCTGGTGCCGCTGTGCCGCGGGTTAAACCGGGACACTCCGACAGAGGCTGCAGCAGTAACAAGAGGGCGCCAAGAACCCGAAAGTTTGGGTTTATTATATTTTTATAATTTTAAAAGCTTTTACAGATACGAAACGTGGCTCTGGCTGAGCCGCAATTACAGAAGTGCTTAATGAAGCAGCCTACCCACAGAGCAGAAGCACCACGGGGCTGTGGGAAGCGTGAGCTGCAAACAGCAGTGGATGTTCATCGAAGGCTCCAAGGAAACTCCCTCCTCTGGCCGGGGCAGGAAAGGCAGAGATGAGAGAGAAACGCGGCCCCAGATCCTCAGCCTGCCCAGGCAGGAGCACGGCAGCGTGCCCACAGCACTGGCACAGCATTCCAAGCAGGCATTCCAAGCCTGGCAGAGTAGAGAGGAGGAACAAGGGGGTTCTGCTGCAGAACTGCTGCAACAGCCTTCGAAAAAACCCAGGGCACAGTGTACAGCAGAGTGCAAAGAGCAGCTCAGGCCTTCTCAGCTTCGCGGAACAAGGAAAGTGTGCAGAGAAATCCCTGCCCTCCCAAAGTGGTGAGCATTGATTTAAAGTTCTCATTAGCTCAGCACAACCCGAGCAGGGAGCGGAGCGCCAGCGATTCTGCCGTGCCATTTACAGCGGCGCTTGGCTGGCCCAGGCAGCAGCTCCCCCAGGCTCTCCGGATACTTCTCCATTAATGAATAATTTGCACAATGATTATAGAGGGAAACCGCATGAGCCATCACCCTGTGCATTGCCTGGAGCCCAGGGGAGGCTTGGCCAGAGCATTTCTGCATCACCACAGCGTGCAGCTGACAGCGCTGGAGCTGCACGTGTGCTCACAAGGGGAGCCCCAACCAGGGTCCCAGGAATCCAGAATCCAGGAGAGGGGAGGATGCCCTACAGTGGGAGGGAAGGGATCAGCACCCAGGGTGTGCAGCCAGGAGGGCAAAGCTGCTGGGAACAGGAGGCAGGTCCCAGACAGCCACGAGTGCTGGGGGAGCAGAGAGCATCGTGCCACCACTCCCAGACCTTCACCACCACTCCCAGACCTTCACCACCACTCCCAGACCTTCACCACTTCTCTTCCCCACCAGCTGAGGACAAGCCCCAGCAGGGGTGGTGACCTCACACACCTCACTCCATCACAGCACAGGACCTGGCCCAGCCACCACCTTGCCAGAGCTGCACAACCCACACCACCCAGCAGTGGCAAATCCCCGAGGGACCCACCAAGGAACACTGCCAGGCCACAGACCCTCCTGGACCCCAGTAACATCTCCACCCCTCCAGAGCAGTGCCCAGAGCCCCTCAGCAGCACAGGAGAGGAGCTGGGTCATGGGACTCACGGTTCCACTGACACTCACCACCTCTCCAGGTGAAAAAACAAAATACAAACCCTCCAGACTTCACTGGGTTTGCACACAGGAGCTCAGTGCCAGCCTGACCTGCTGGCTCCCACCCCCACTACCCCTGAGGCAGAGCTGGTGCCCCGTGGGCTGCCCCACACACACCTCAGCCCACTGCTCCCACAGGGATGGTGTCACCGTGCTTGCTGAAATCCCCCGGGGCTGATTCACAGGCTGTGGGACAGGCACGAGCGCGTGTCCCGGCGTGGGCGGACATGGCTGGACTCCACTGCAGCAGCTGGAGCCCAGCTCCCACAAAGCACCCCCACACACAGCCAGCCCCCAGCCCCACGGCAGATGACTGCTCCAGAGCAGCCGGGTACTCACTTGATCTTCAGGCTGGCCAGCATCGTCTTGTCGATCCTGAGGAGAGAGCAGAGGAGGGTGTTACTGCAGCACAGGGCCCCAGATGTAGCTGGGAGGGGCTGGGCACTGGGGGCTGCTGCCAAACACGACCTCAGCACGTCCCTTGGAGGTGCCAGCGCTCCGGCTGACACGGGAAGACACAGAAAGATTTCATCAGAAAACAAAATCAGCCAGGCCTTAACCCAAAATGAAGCCTGGCAGCGAGCAAGAAAAGATCCCCCTAGTTCCCTCCTGGTGCAGAACTGCTGCCTCCCAGTCTGGAATGCCAGAGGTGAGCTGGGGAGCAGAGCAGGGCATCGCCTGTGCCCCAGCTCTCTCCAAAGCACAAACCACGTATTTACAGATGATGGAGCTGTGGCAGCCCTGACGTGCTGGGAAGATCCCCCCAAACCCCACATACTGAACCTGGCCCCAGGCAGACAAAACACAGAGCAGCCCCATCACTCCCAGCCCTGGCTGGCTTGTGTGGGACCAGGAGCCCCAGTTGCTTCACTCATTTCCCTGGCACTGGTAATGAGTGCTCATCTCCTCAGAGTCATTGTGGTTACAGTCATATTAATATTAATTAATGCAAATCATAGTAATGTCGCAAAATGCAAAATAATGTCTTTTGGCAGTCACTGAAATGCTCTGTTATCTGCCACGTGGAATCAATTCCACATCTCAAAAAAAGACCAAACAGCAAAATAACACCCCCAGCACCCTCTTGTTTTGCACTGTGATCGCAGGGAACACGGCGTGGCCACAGAAATGCAGCTTCCCCCACCTGCAGCTTTGCTTTGTCCCCCCCAGGCCGGGCTGGGCTGTCAGGAGGGGGCTGCACCCACGGGTGGCACAGGGTCCTTGGCACTCTGTGGCACAGCTGAGCCTGGCAGGCTCTCGGGCACAGGCACCACGACCTTTCCCAGGGTCCCTCCCCTGCAGCAGCCTCACCCTCCCAAAACCCATGGTTGCTCTGCTCCAGGCATTTCCCCAAGCACCAAATTCCATGCTCTGCTCTGGAGAGCCAGCACACTGCTGCTCCTAAAAATAGATCTAGGGCACCTGCTATTGTGACTGAACACCTTACAGGCCTGCCCAGACCTCACTGATCGTTAAATCACGCTGAACCTCAGAGCAGGCTGGGGAGCAGAGCTGTCTCCAGACTCGGTGCAGAGGCCAGGGACAGTGGGTGGCTGGGGCAGCTCCCGTGGGACCTGTCCCTGAGCGAGGGCTGCACCAGCGGCTCCATCCGGAGCCACGGGAAGAAACAACAGTTGCTGTCATTTGGTTATTTGGCCTCTTAGAATGAGAAGGGGAGGAAAAGAAACAACAACAACATTAAAAAAAAACAAACACACACACACGCGAAAAAAAAAAAAACCAAACAGGAAATGAGCTCCCATGTTTGGGAAACCGCAGTTGCATGACCGTGAGAGCCGTTTGTGAGCCCTGCCCTGCCCTGCCCAAAGGCGCCAAATGAAACTGCCCGCACCCCGCAGCCCAGCCGGGGTAGCCCAGCCGGGGCAGCACTGCAGCACTCACCCGGGCTTTGCCCCCGAGCGCATCCCCACAGCCAGACCGGGGCACCGCGTCTGCCCCCGGCCCGAGCACACCGCCCGGGACCCCGCCGCAGCACAGGCGGCTGGTGGAGAGTTTAAAAAGCAGCAATTTCCAGCGCAGCGGAGGCTGGAAACAGCGGGTGCAGCCACAGCAGCAGCTGGGTGTGCCCGGGCACCTCGCACGCAGCCCACAGGAAGGGTGGGCCGGCCGGGACCGTGGGAAGAGGCAGGTGCGGGTCCCTCCTTTGCCCGTGCCCGCCCAGGGAACGCTCTCCGGCGGCCACTGGGCTTTCCAGGCCCGGGGAGACGGGCACCGACCCTGGGAGCAGCCCCCACCCCACAGCTCCGGGAGGATGGGGCTCCCCCGCCGCTCTCACCCTGCAGACACCGGCGTGGTGTCCAAAGGAAAGCCCCTGTCCTGTTCCCTCAGCCCCAGCTGCACCTGTGGCACAGCCCCCAAGAGCCAGCACAATCGCCCAAGAGCCAGCACAATCTCCCAAGGGCCAGCACAATCGCCCAAGAGCCAGCGCAGCCCCCAGGAGCCAGCGCAGCCCCCTCCAGCTGGGAGAGCCCGTTTTCCTCAGTGACTCTCCGGCTCGTGATTTTCTTTCCCCTGCACGTGCCCAAGCACAGCACGAAAAGAAGCCAGAGCAGAGCCCAGCCTGAGTGCCCTGCCAAGGAGGGTCACGGCTGTGCTCCAGTGCAGGAGCTCCGGGATGCCCCCGGGCAGCCAGGCCCGCAGAGCCCTGCTCCTAGCAGCGACCGTGGGGCAGAGCTGCCCAGGAGTGCGATTTGGCCACCACAAAATGAGCCCACATATCGCTACACTTGTTTGCACAGGAGTCTGTCCAGGTGCCCCCTCGCCTCTGCCGCCAGCCCGGCCAGCGCAGCTCTGGGTTCAGCGAGGCGTGTGCCCCCTCCCAGGGGACCCTGCCAAAGCCGTGGCGCTCCCGCTGCCCTCGCAGTGCCCCGGCATTCCCCAGCCGCTGCCAGGCAGCTCCAAGCCCCCTGGGAGCCCCGGGCTGCCACAGCCCCTGCGGGACGGGGAGGCGCAGAGCAGCCTTCTGCCCCAACACCGCCACAGCCAGCGCGAGGAACAGGCACCAAACACCTCGGAGAGGAGACCTGCAGAGCGGCCAGAGCGAGAACCGTGCCGTTTCCTTAAGCTGTTTCCCTAGATGAACACTCTCAGAGGGAACACACGGGAGCACTCATCCCGCTGAGCTGGGGCTGCAGGAGCAGCCGCGGGGCTCTGCTGAGGACACGCGAGGAACGGATGAGTCCTGCAGGTGCCAGCGGCGCTGGGAGCCCGCCCGGGACCGGAGGGAGCTTCCTGCACAGCCCAAGGGGGCTGCAAGCACCGCTGAGTGCAGGAGGAGCAGGCAGCAGGGAAAGCAGCGAGGGGAAGGCGCGGGGCAGACATCCCGCAGGTGAGGGACAGACATCCCGCGGGTGCGGGCAGACATCCCGCAGGTGAGGGGCAGACATCCCGCAGGTGGGGGACAGACATCCCGCAGGTGCAGGCAGACATCCCGCAGGAATCGCGCCCACGGGAGCCCCGGGGGTGCCCGCAGCCCATCCCGGAGCTGCGGGCCGAAGCTGTGCCGGGCTGCTGCGGGCACGGGCAGCACCGTCCTTGCCCCGCACGCTCGGGCCGGCACGGGCCGGGGGAAGGGCTCTGCCCGAAGGCACCGCGGCCGGGATTCCTGCTCGGAAAGCAGGGGAGGGGAGCTCCTCAGCCGGCTCCCGGCAGGGCGAGGAGAAGGGGAAGGCACCCACCAGCCGTAGCCGCCGAAGGAGACGCTGCGCTTCCTCTGGAACATGCTGGTGGCTCGGTGCTGTCCGGGCGGGGGACAGCGGTGACAGGACAGCGGTGGCGGCACAGCGGTGGCCGTGCGGAACGGCCGGAGCGGCGCTTTCTGCCGGACCCCTCTCGCCCCGCTCAGCCGCCCCCGGCGCAGCAGCGCATGCACACGCGCACACACAAACACCACCGAAAAAAAGTCATTTCCTTTTCTTTTCGCTGCCACAGGCTTTTCGCAACCTCACGCTGCAAATATCGTATTTCTCCTAATGGCGGGACCACCAGCAGCGCCGCGCGGGCAGGCGCTGAGCCACGGGCACCGTGGCACCCACACACACTGTGCCCTGCGGCTGCCCGGCCACCGAGACCCGACCCAGAGGGTCCCTGGGGCAGCGTGGTGGTCTGCCTCTTCCTCCCTGTGCCCCCATGGCAGTGCTGCAGTCACAGCACCAGGCTAGGCCCTGGTAGGGGAACACCCACCCAGCCCTCCAGTGTGGTGGGGACACCCCACCAAAGGCATCAAACCTCGGCGAGCAGAACCCCATCACCTCATCCCTCACGGCAAACAGATCCCACCACCCAGAGCCCAGCAAGGCATCTCCCACTAGCTCCCCTGCAGCTGCCTGTGGCACACAAGTTTTCCATCCTCTGGTTCCCTGGCAGCTCTGTAGGGCTGAAGTGGCATCTGCAGCCTCACCACCACCCACACTCCCCTGTCCTTTAGCAGCCAGGCTTCAGAAATCCCACAGAAATGGAAATGCTGGCATCTAGCTGGGTGTGGGCTCCCACCCATCACAAATCCCCAGCAAACAGATGCTGCTCCCTGCGCCAGGCTTTGGGCACTGCAGGGCACAGCAGAGCCGGGGGAGCTGAGCCCTGCAGGGGTGGGCACGGTGCCCAGAGGCTGGGTGTGGTGCCCAGGTGTCCTCACACCTTTCCCCTCCCCAGACCAACCAGCAGTGCCCACTTCCACCATTCAGAGCTGGGCTGCACAGGGGATCACCCTCTGCCAGTCCAGGTGAGCAGGAGGGGTGGGAGGGCTGAGCCCCCGGGCAGGGCAGAGGCAGGGGGAGCTGGGCTGTGCTGGGGCAGAGCCCAAAGCTGCACCCAGGACAGCATGAGCTGCTCAGCCACACATGCCCTGCCATGCCCACGGGATCCAGGAGCCAGCCCCAGAGCCCAAAGGCCAGAAAGAGCCCCTGAGTGCCAAGGTGCACCCAGCTCACTCACCTCCTGCCCCAGTGATCCAGCGCCTGTGTGGACTCACAGCATCCCCTTGCCCTGGCACTCCATGCAGGGCTGGCTCCTGGCTCAGAGGCAGCTCTAGCCCAGCGTTCTCATACAAGCATCCAAAAGCTTTAGATTGAGAGGCACTTGAAGTCTATCTGATGTGTGAAAAAAAGGGGTGGGGGGAGAGAGGGTATAGGGAGCTGGAGAGAGAAATCACTCATCTCTGGGGAAAAAACTTGGACTGAAATCCAGCTATTTCAACTCCTACTTCTCTGCCCACAGCCTTAAAGGGATGAAACGATGGAAATTCTTTTAATTTTAGAGCTCTTAAGAACATTTCTAAAAAACAAAATGCTGCAGGCTTTGAAGCCATAATTCAGGTGCTACAAAATATCTGGAGCAGTCATTTGCTCGGAACACGTTTGTTCCTGGCCTGCATGATCTGTGTCAGAGCTCTGCACCACAGCAGTGTGACGTTATCCTCTCCTTCCTCTCCCCCCAGGTCATGTCTTCCTTACACTGCTCCCAGTTCATTTCTGCCCAGCTCTGCCGAGCTGCTCACAATTAAAATGTCTGAAAACAAAAGCTTTGGGTGTAGCCAGGCTCGGGAGACCCAGTGTGGCTGCTCCAGCCTGGCCCTGTGTGCAGAGGTGTGGGACATGGGGTGACAGGGGCTGTGGCAAGCACTGACCTTCGCTGTTCCACAGCAGGAACGACTTGGGGAGCCACAGAGGCACGGCCAGCTTGACACCTTCCCCTTGCAGCACCAGGCACTGCCCAGCTTCACTCCTTCCCCCTGCAGCACCAGGCACTGCCCAGCTTCACTCCTTCCCCCTGCAGCACCAGGCACTGCACCTTCTGCTGCTTCAGCCCTGCGGGAACTCGTGGTTCTGGGGTGACACGGAAGCAGGAAGGGTGACAGGGACAGGCACAGCAGGGCAGGAGCTGACTCTCCTTGCTGGGAGCTCACTGTGGTCAGCAGGTCACAATCACTCCTGCAGCTCTTCCTCACATCATGCTAAAGCACAGGGTGACCCCCGTGCCTGCCCCAGGATTTCAGAGCACAGGAGGGCAGGACCCTGGCCATGGGGAAGCATCTCCATTTCAGAAGGGTGTGGGGCAGCCCCTGCACAAGCCCACCTCGCCCTGCTCCAGCAGGGAATACCCGTGGCTGGCAGTGGTGGCAGTGGAGCTCTTCCTGCTCCCCATCCCCTCACACCTGGCAGCCCCACAGATCCAGGTGACGAGCTGCATTTGAAGCAGGCAAAGGTTAGAAATGCAGCAGGGACCCAGCCCCAGCCCCCGAGGCCAGCAGCCTGCCTGGCTCCGGGTACCACTGCCTGCCCAGCACATCTCACCCGCAGGGGCGTGCCTCCAGAAATAGTCCCTGCAATGACATTTTCTCACTTCCCCTCTCCCCCCGAGGTGTTTCACACAGGCTCATAAACAGCAAGGAGAAAACCTTCCTACTTTCAGAGCAGGCACAGGCAAATCATAACCGAGCAGCCAAAATTAGGGAACAAAACCCTGGGGGAGGACAACTCCTCAGTACCATCTGCACCAGTCTAAATTAACATCTCCCAGGGGCCTCTGCCAGAACCAGGATGCCATTGCTCCAAGCCAGCCTGGTGAGCAGCCCCTGCCTACTGGGAACAGTGCCACACTGCTGCTGACACCTCAGAGCAGGGCTGTGCCCAGCAAGGGCAGCATAATTATTCCCTTTCTTACTGGGATTGCATCATTAGTGCTTTAATATTGCCTGCGGCTCTCTGAGGGCATTCAGTTTCCTATTATGATTCTAAAGAAGGTTGTGGGCACCAAGAAATATTAGATTTTGTCCTGACAGGAAGAACATGCCGTGCGCATCATCAGCTTGACCTACAGAGCAAAGGAAAACAGTGTCCAAATTACCTCTGACTCAGTTCATGGAATATTTTAAACACTATTTTCTCCCCTTTATGGTGCTGCTGAAGTGAAAAGAGAAACTTGATGTCTTAAATACAGGTTCCCACAAACCCCAGCTTGCTCTCAGGGGGGCTCTTCACTGTTCAACAGCCTCAGACCAGGACTGAGGGGCTCCTTCACCAGCACGCTGGGGAGGGAGGCTGTGTGCCACAGCTTCAGACACAGGATGGGAAAGACAGAGCCTTCCTGACCCTCAAGCTGCAAGCCATGCTCCAGCTCCTCTTCCACATTCTTGAGAAACCACTGATGGCTCCTGGACTCATCCCTCTGTCCAAAGAGATCTGTCCACTCTGCTCCTTTCTGTGGAAATGGCTGAAACACAGATCCTGGAGGAAGCCACCATGGCCCTGCAAAGCATCACTCCTCGGGCAGCTGGCACAGAGGGACACTTACACCCAGGTATGGCAGCACCAGCTTGCCCAGGAAGAGGAGAGCACAGAGCCCAGCACAGAGGAGAGAACCCAGGAAAGCAGCAGGCTGGCAGCCTGGCCCCCGTGCTGGCCAGGTGCCTGTGACCCCCAAAGGCCTCTCCCACCACCACAAGAACCAGCTTTTTGCTGCAGAGGGACACAGATCATGTCTCATCACAGCCCTGTATGCACAAACTCATCACAAGCTCCCAGCCTCACTGGATTCTTCTCAGCCCACTGAATTTAATGTACAGCGTTGTTTGTTTTCTCAAGGCCACCCATTTTAGAGTCCTGCCTTGCTAGCAAGGGCATGGAATTCCTCTCTCATGAAAAGGCATGAAAAGGCCCTCTCTAGGAAAAGCCTGTTCAAGCACACACATTTTCTGTGCCTGTTTCTCCCAACCACCCCCTTGCCATGCCAGTGGAGCCTGAGGATGCTTCAGAGGAGCAGCAGAGGCTGCATCCTCCTGCAGTGTGCCTCCCAGGGGCCAGCAGGAAGGTTGCTCTGTGCATCCACACAATGCCCTCACAGGTGCCTGGCACAGGGTGCTCCAGGGCAGGCACCACTGCCCCCTTTCTCCCCTCTGTGCCAGGGGCATCCCTGCTGCAGCCAGAGCAGCAGCTGCCATGCCAGCAGCAGGTCCCTGCGCTGTCACCATGGCTACCTGCACATCTGCACATCTGCACATCTGCACATCAGTCCCCACTGCCTGCAGGAGCCCAGTGCCCATTGCCCAGGGCTGCTGGAAGGAGGATGCACCGGGGCAAACCTCCACAAAATCCTGCTCCCAGCGGCAGGCTGGCACTGCCAGCTGCGCCAGGAACTGCAGAGTGTTTGGCCCAGTTCACACAACAAACACGGAGCAGGGGGGTGGCTGCAGCCGGAGAAGAAATTGTGGAGAGACAGAAAAAGAACAGCTTAAACTGAAAACCAGGGCTGGGAAAACGTGGGGGCGGGATGAAAGCATGGGAATGAGAGAGACCTGAACATGCTTTGGCTGGAAATTAGGAGGCTTCTAATTTTCAATACAATCAGTCTCTGGAACAGTTTCCTAATTATGGAAATAAAGGAATCAAAAATACCCCAACCTCCTCATTGAGACGCAGAACATTTAAGACTTACACAAGATGGTAAAGTCTATGGAAGGTGTCCCTGTCCATCAGAGGGGGTTTGGAACTGGGTGACCTTTGCTGTCCCTTCAGCCCAAACCTTTCTGTGATTCTGTGACCCTGCGATGCCACAGCAGCAGGGCTCTGGGCTCACTGACCCAGCAGGTGACCTGGCCCCTTCCCCTGACAAGGGCTGCTCCTCAGACACCCCTGCCCTGCACCCCAGCCTCAGCAGCAGGCAGGAAATCGGGGCTGCCCGAGGCTGAGCTGCGCAGGCGGAAGGTCAAACCCTGAACATTGCACACAAACCACATGGGGCTTGGACTCGAGCTTTTCCAAATCCTGCTACCTCTTTGCCAACATCACCTGTATTTTTCAACCATTTTGGGTGGGCTTTTCAAGAGCCTGGGTTGAAACCAAATCACAGCCAAGGAACAGTCCTCCTGGCGTCCAGCTTGGAGGCAGATGTTCACTCCAAGCAAGGATTCATCTACCCCCACAAAACTGCAAAATGTCTGTGGAGAGTGAGCTGTTTTTAGCTCCTGGAAAAAAATGTGTCTCCTCCTGTTGCTGCTGAAGTCCTGCTCCTGTTTCCACAGCAGCAGCAG